AATAAATAAATAAATAAATAAATAAAAATAAAAAGAGAATCACCTCTTCCTGCCTCTCCTAAAAAAGAGGGGGAAGGGCGAAGGAAAGGGGAGGGGCTGAGAGCCCAGGCCTAAGTCTTTGCCACCCCTTTCCCCAGCTCCTGGGAGGAGAGTTCAGGAAAAGGCTTTGCCTTTCCAGGGGAGAGATCCTAATGGGGAAAAGCATATTGGAGACCAGAGCAGGGTGCTGGGGGACCAGAACTAGCCAGCCATGGAGAAAGAGGTCCCCTGAGATAGGGCGTGGGCAGTGAAAGGAGAAACAGCACCCTCCCTGCCAAGCTGACTCCTTGCCAATTCAATAGCCTGTTCAGCTCTGTGTCCCTAGTGCCCTGTGGCTCCTGGTACACAGCAGGGGCTCACCGAGTGTCTGCTCAACTGCCTTGATCTACACCTTGGCATCAGGTAGCAGGAGCACCCGTCCTTGTGAGCCGAAGTGTGTCTGTGGAACAGTGTGAAGGAGGTGATGGAGAGAGGCCCTGCATGCTCTGGTCATCTGTCTGTCCATTTATTCCTTCAGTGAGGCTTTTTTAAACTGTGGTAACATATATATAATATGACTTTTACTTTGCTAAGCCATTTCTAAGTGCACAGCTCAGTGGCTTTAGGGACACTTGCATCATTGGATGAACATTTGTGGGGACCTACTATGTGCCAGCCCCTTCACGCTGCTCCAGATCTAGCAGAGGAGATAGACCAGAAAGTCGGCAACCTTAACCCAGCATGGTCAGTGCTGCGAGAGACACGGGCGCAGGTTCTCTGGGAGTCCAGGAGGACCAGGAGCTTGGGGGAGCAGGCTTTCTGGAGGGCGCTCTTACTTGAACTGGGTCCCGAAGGACTAAGAATGAGCTGGGACATTGGAGTAAGGGTTGATACGGCCCCAGGAGGATTGATGAAGCAAAGTAAGATGGCAGAGAGAAGTCCTTGAGACCCTGAGGTCACAAGAGGGCAGGGGTGGAGCTGAATTACGCTGGAGGGATCCTGCTTTGGAGGAAGCCAAGGGTGACATACTGACCCCTCTGCTCCCCATTGTCAGCACTATGTCTTTCTCCAACCCTGAGGATGCCCCCCAAGAGCCTGGGCCGGAGCCCTCAACCTCCAAGAAGAAAAAGAAGAGAAAGCAGCCACAACAAGAGGCCAGCATCCAAGCCCTCACCAGGGCTGGCCACGGAGCCCTACTGGCTGGCCGGAACCATGAAGCTTTGACCAGCTTCCAGAGGGCCTTCATCCTGGCCTCTGAGGCCCCACAAACTCGGGACACCCCTGTTCTCCGGGCCTGTGCCTTCAACCTGGGGGCCGCCTACGTGGAGACTGGGGACCCAGCCAGAGGCCTTGAGCTGCTCCTGCGAGCCCAACCTCAAGAGAAGGCGCAGGGCGGGTGTCCTGGCGACCAGTGTTTCAACGTGGCTTTGGCCTACCAGGCCCTGGGCAAGCTGCCTCAAGCTTTGGCTTGGTACCACAGGGCCTTGGGTCACTACCGGCCACTCGGTGACCAGGGGCAAGCCCAGGCAAAAATGGGAGCCTGCTACCAGGCTCTGGGACAGCCTGAGCTAGCAGCCCGCTGTCTGCAGGAAGCCAGCCGGGCCTATGCCCAAGCAGGGCAGCCCCAGGCTGCAGCCCTGGCCGCAGGGGCTGTGGCGGGGTGCATGCTGGAGAGCGGGCGGCATGGGGTGGTTGAGGTGGTGCAGGTGCTGGAGGAGAGCCAGAGGCTTGCCGAAAGGAGCCCCGAGCGGGAACTGCTGGGTGAGGCCCTTGGGCAGAGGAGGCGTGGGGTCTGGGGACATTCAGACCAGGTGATGCTCTGAGAGGTGGGGTGCAGGCAGAGGCTGCTCTGAGGGCAGGGGAGAGGGGTGGAGGACCCCAGGAGAGTGGGACAGGGGCTATACCAATCAGCAGCAGCAGCATCTGACCTGGCTACTGGTGACCCTGGCCATGCCCTCCAGGGCAGCTCTATAACGACCTCGGCCTGAGCTACTCCCAGCTCCGACTGTTCCCGCTAGCAGCAGAGGCCTTCCTGCGGGCCCTGCCCCTGTGCCGGGGGCCAGGAGAGGAGGCCACGGTGCTGAGAAACCTCGGGGCGGCCCACAGTGCCCTCGGCAACTATCAGGAAGCCCGGGACGTTCACCAGAAGGCCGCTGACCTGCACGGTGGGTACCAGGGCCTGGGGAATGGGATAGGGACTCACAGGGGCTCCAGCTGGGGCTCAAGGCGGAAGAGTGGACAGACCTTTAGGACAGGGTATGGGGCCGGGAAGCCTAGAACCAGGGGGTGAGGGCTGGGGGTGCAGGAGAGGGGTAGGCAGACAGGACAGGGGAGTGAGGGCCCGGAGGCCGAGGCCTGGGGTTGGGAAGGCGGCAGTGGGCAGTGGGAAGAGCCCCAGCCGGGAGAGCAGGCCTCCTCCGACTGAATGGTTGTGTGACATTCAGCGAGTGGTGTCGGCTTTCCGAGCTTCAGTTTCCACCCAGGTAAGAAGGGAGCCACTGATACCTGCCCTGCCTGCCTCATCGGGTTGTCGCATGGCTCCAGCCAGCCGGGGGTGGGGGTGGGGGTGGGGGTGGGGGAGATGCATTCACGCCCAAACTCAGGCCTGAGGAGAGGCTGGTTATTGAGAGCTGAGGTCTCCGGGGTGCATCTGGAGGCGTGCTGGGGCGGAGCACCAGGACTCCTGGGTGCCCGCCCTGGTTGCTGGGGGACGCCTCAGCAGCCAAGGTCCCCTCTGTCATCAGGCTCTGTGGGGCAGCGGCGGGAGCAGGGCCGGAGCTTCGGCAGCCTAGCATTTGCACTGAGCCAGCTGGGGGACCACAGAGCAGCCCGAGACAGCTACCTGCATGCCCTGCAGGCTGCCCGGGACACCGGTGAGGGCTTAGCAGGTGGCTTGGCAAGGGGGCCAGGCCGAGGGTCCCGGGGACTGGTGGCGAGACCTCTGGAAGGGAGGGTCAGTGGTGCGGGGACCCATGAGAGGACCTCCCGGGCTCCCTTCCCCAGGGGACACGAAGGGGCAGTGGCAGGCCTGTGAGGGGCTGGGGGCTGCGGCAGCCAGACTGGGGCAGCACGACCAGGCCTTGCGGTACTATAAGGAAGCTCTGGCCCGGAGTCAGGTGAGACCCCCCCATCCCAGAACCTAACTCTTCCTACTACGCTTCGTCTGCTGACCGTCCTGCCTCTTCTCCTTGCCATCCGTCCACTCACCAAACGCGCATCGGGCACACTGTGCGCTAGGTCCCAGGACACTGCTGTGAGGAAGAGCTTGTCTCTTCACGGTTCTGGGCAGGCGGTAACAGGATCCTGGCAAGGGTGCAGGGATGGGGTAGAAAAGAAAGGAAGACAAAGCCCCCTTCCCTCCTCCCTCTCCAGTTTCTTGCTTCCCCAATCCCAGAGGACCGCGTAGCCCAGACCTTCCCCATCCCCCCATTATCCACCCTCTCCCCAGAAGGAGCCAGACTCTGTGCGGGATCGGCTGGTGGCCAAGCTGGCAGACGCCATGAGGACCCACTTGGCCCAGGCTGGGCTTGTCCCCACGTACACCCTGGTGAGGTGACCCCTCAGACAGGGAGCTTGGGGTGCAGAGAGGTGACCCCGAGAAGGAGGTGGTGGCAAGCAGAGCTGACCCCTCAGGGATGCTGCACTGGCCCGTGTGTTCATCTGCCCCGGAGCCCGCGTAGGGGACACAGATCACTTTTCCCAGGACACCCGGGGGTGGGGAGGTGGGCAGGGGATTCTGGCCTGTCTCCCAGCACTAGGCTGTGCCAGGCCTTTGCCTGGGTGGTAACAAGCCCAGCAGTTGAGCACCGAGATGCAATCAAGGATGCTGAGCCCTACTGCCCCGAGGAGGCGGAAACCGGCCAGTCCTTGGCTGCAGTTCTCTAAAAGGCCACAGGGTGGGGGCAGTGCTCCAGCGAGGTTCCCCTTCTGGCTGCCCTGGCTGGGGGCGCTTCTCCGTGGGTCTCCACTGCCCCCTCCCTCTCTGGCTCCCCCCAACCTCTCTCTGCCTCCCAGCCTCTCTGCAGGTCCTGTGCCTCACACCCTGAGATACCTTCAGGCAACCAACCTCCCACCTAGGAATTAAAATTATACTTTAATATTTATTCTACTTATTTAATGGGGTTTACGTCTTCTCTTAAAGACCAGGACACTGTATTTATAATTTGTGAGCAAAATTAAATTAGTCTGGTCCGAGCAGAGGACTGGCAGCCACCAACTTTCTGGGACTTTGCCCGTGGAGACCCCAGGCAGGTGGGGTGGAGGCCGGGCTCTGGCCAGGCCTGATAGTCGGGAGCCTGGTTCTGACTTGAGAGTCACTAGCAGAATCCTCACCATGGATTTCCACTCTCAGATGGGTGGCACGCCCCAGGCTGCCCATAGCACGTCTGTGTCTCTGTGGGGCCGTGGCCTGTGCAGAGAATGCACACTCGCAGATACACCCCTAGCTGGTTCCCTTTGCTCCCCACCATTCCCAGACTTCGGCGCTGGGGAGGCCCCGGGCTCCAGGTGCAGCCAGGCCCCCAGCCAGGGCGGGAAGGGGCAGAGCAGAAGTGCTGCACAGGTGAGTGGGGCGGGGCTGGGGCTCCAGGGTTGCTGGGGGACACATTGGAGGTGTGCAGCCACCGGGTGGGGGGGTTGGGGCCTGCACGTACCCCAGGGAGGAGGGGCTGGCCCAGTGCCGCTCTGCCCCCTGCTCCCCGCCCCTCTAGGTCTTCGGGTGGGTGGGAAGAAGAAGAGTGCGTGGAGGGCCAGGAGGAGAGAGAGGACCAGCCACCACCCGATGTCCCCGTGGCGTCTTGGGCACAGAGACTGGAGTGTGAGTGGGAGCAGGCCGACCCCAACTGTGCATCTCCTCCCTGAAAATGGGAGCGCTCCCCCAACACCTTCCGTTCCCAGAGGCCCCTGCCCTGGTCTGCCACTGAGGCCGACCAGCCCTCTCCCCTGTCCCGTTCATGTCTCGAGACCCTGGCCAGTTTCCCTGAACCCTTCCACAGTCGCCTCTCCTCCTGGCTTGCGTGGCTTTCTTAGCCTCTAGAACTGTGCATCTTAGAGCACCAAGTTTTATTGAAAGCCTACTGCCAGGTGCTGGGTGCTGATCTTGCCCTAGCTCACTGTTTACCAGCTCCCCCAGAGACTTCAACCTCTGGGGGCAGAGCCCCTGGCTACTTGCTATACGGACTGGAATTCCCTGTTTGGTTTATAGTGTGTTTGCCTCCAGGCAGCAGAGAGTTGCAGTTAAACACTTGTCCTGAACAGACTGTTGGCTTTGGTGCAACCTCCGTGTCAACGACCAGGGCACGCATCCCAGCACCCACCGTCCTTGCTCTTCTCCCAAGCTTTCTCTTTCCACCGTGTGATTCTTGGTGCAGAGAGGTCTGTGATAAATGTGCCTGTCTCTCTCCATCCAGGTCCAGGACCTGGGGCCCATCTCCTGCTTGGAGGCCAAGGCCCCCTCCAAATGGAGCAGCCTGGCATTCTGGTACCCAATGGCCCCCAAGCCAATAGGTGGGTCCCTGGGGGAGGGGAAGAGGCCTGGAGAATGGATAAAAGGAGTAGGAGAGGATGTGGCTTTGGATGGTTTTAATGGAACACGATCATGATCACCGTTCAAACCGGGGCAAGATGTGGTCCAGTGCTTGTGGGTCTAGTGTTTGGAGCCTCTCTGTGTTTGGCCTTGAACAATATGAACAATGCTCACCCAGCTCTGGAAGCCTGGGGCGTCCCCTGTCTCCTGCACAGCCTGACTGGAGGCCTCCCAGAGAGGGAGAATCCTGCTGAACTGAAGAGGGTCAGGGGTGGGAGCGTGTGCTCAAGCCTCCCTCTCCTGCCCTGGGGCCCAGCAGCCGAGATGCAGGCCAGGGAGGGCAACAGGACCTTCAGCGAGATCAGGCTGCCCTCTGCTCTCTCCCCAGCCACCCCACGGGCAAGCCCCTCCCTGCCTCCCACAGGTCGTCCAGATGGCCCAGGGAAACCCCCTGCAGAAACCCTCAGAGGAGACCCACGGAGTCTGGCTTCTGTGTGATAACGTGACCCCACTCTGCTGGCCCTGAATGTGGCCTCTGTGTGACCCCCCCCCCACACACAAACATTAGGGGTTTCTGGGATCAAGCCTCTTCCCGGTTGTTCAGGGCCCTATGGACACAGAATGGAACACCACCGGCACGTGGGGTCCTGTGTCCGCTGAACAGGGCCTTTGCAGTCTGGGCGCTGAGGTGTTCAGTTTGCTCCTTGTTGGGAGTTTTGGACTCAACAGGCAAAAGAAAAAAGGGAAACCAGACAGTGAATTTCCCCTTCTTCCTTCTGGATCCAGACCTCATGATTGCTGAGGCCCTTTCCAGTTCTAAAAGCTGTGACATCTTGGTCAGGAGGCTGCTGTCACGGACTGTCTCCAGACCTCCATCTTCTCGAAGGGGAAATGGGGATCTAAACTACAGAGGACAGGGCGCCTGGGTGGCTCAGTTGGTTGGGCGACTGCCTTCGGCTCAGGTCATGATCCTGGAGTCCCAGGGTCAAGTCCCGCATCAGGCTCCTTGCTCAGCGGGGAGTCTGCTTCTCCCATTGACCCTCCCCCCTCTCATGCTCTCTCTCTATCTCATTCTCTCTCGGATAGATAAATAAAATCTTTAAAAATAAAAAAATTAAAAAAAATAAACTACAGAGGACACATCTTAGCCCACTGATGGACTCCACCGCCTCCATGACAGTCGCGGGTTGGGGGGGCAGCTCAGGCCTGTCGGACGTTGCTGTCAGCAGCCACATTTTGTAAGATGTGCTAATCACTCAGCACACACCACACTCTGCTCTGAGTGCTTCCCAAGTGTTTTCTCCTGCAGTCCTCACAGCAGATGAGCCCCTTTCACAGCCGAGGAAACGAGTGTGTCCTCCCCGGCCACACAACTACTAAGTGGGGGAGCCGGGATTCCAACCCAGGCAGGGAGCACCTTCTAGAATGCCGTACAGTCCTGCTACCCCACTTACACTAATGCTTACCAGGAGTCGATTGTGTTGGTACCAAATGTGCTTATGCTGGGTGTACGCGTTCTTGTAATTCGTGATTTGATTAAATATTACATAAATTGATGAACTAAGTGTGAAAACAGGCACTGTTTGTATGAAAACGAAGTTGAATCCTTGGAAGTCTTGATTAAGGTGAGTCAATTCAAAAACTGTTGAATTAGATGTGAGCAAGGCGATTATCACATTTTGGGGCAAAATAGTAAAAATGTAGATGAATTTTTGCACTTGGATTGCTTCAAACACGCCATTAACTGTTCCACCTCAAGGAAGCAAACTGGAAATTGCAGGTGACCCGTAATGAGGTTCATGAGGAAGGATGGAGAGCTCCAGCCCCGGGCTCAAGGAGAAGACCCTGGCCGCACTTTGACAGACGGCAAACGGATGCATTTTTAAGTTGAAATAAAATAGCCCATTCCCCATAGTAGAAGAGGGCTTCTACTACACTGTGAACCACTTCACCCTGAGATCTTGAGGACCTAGCATGTGCCGAGCATGCAACTGGCAGCCCGGGACGCAGCCGCTCACCTTCCTTATTAGCATCTTGTCAGGCATTCAAGATGTCTTGACTGGGATGCAGGCTCACCCGCTGTAAGAGAGGCAACGCAACCCTGCCTTTAAGTTCCTCTCTCATGAAAGCAGCCCCGGCTCACGGAGCCCGGGGAGTCCGCAGGGCGCTCTGCCGTCCTCGACACAGGACTCCCACGCCCTGGCCTAAAATGGCTGCCCGGCCGCGGCAGGGAGCCTTCCTTCCAGCCGGGAAGGGAGAAAGGAAGGACAGGAAAACAGGCCTTTTTTCAAAGGGAGGACCAGGCAGTTGCACGCCACCTCTGCTCAGCCCTCATTGGCCAGCGTGTAGTCACATGGAGGCGCCTTGCTGCTGCAAGGGAGAGTGGGAAATGTAGTGTTTGGCTGCGCAGCCACGTGGCCAGATACAACTCAGGGGTTCTGTTGCCAAAGGAAGAGAAGAGAATGGATTTTGAGGAACAGGTAGCAGCACCTACCACATGGGAATACTGCCACTGGGTCAGGCCAACTCCGTATCAACCGTCCCTGGCTCTACCACTTAATAGCTGTTTGATCTTAGGAAAATTACCTCTCTATGCTATAATGTGAGGATAAAACTCCGTCAGAGGATTGACAGGATGAAATATGTAAGCATCTGGAACTCAGCAGGGGCTCGATCCCTATGTCCCTCCTAAATTGGTTTTAAAGGCATTTCCCAAAGAAACTCTACAAGTCTGAAAGGCAGTGATAAGATGGAGTAGGTCTTCGGCTCCACCTTCCTGGGGACAGCCCTCCGGTGGTTGTCTTATAAATTCTGGGGGCATGTGGTGGGGTATGTGTGTGTCACTATTTTATTCTTACATCTCATCAGAAGGAAGTCAGCAGCGACCATGCTTTACCTATTTCCACACTGGCGGAGGGCAGTGCCTTACGGAATGCTGCTTTCTAGCTCAAGCTGCTTGGATCCTAGTTCCACGGACAGCTATCACAGCATCATTGGGCATGCCAGTCAACATTTTGGAGCCTTAGTTTACTCATCTGTAAAATGAGAATAATAACAGGGTTG